TATATATATATATATATATATATATAATCATTATTATGACTCTACTACCTCTCATTTCTCCATATGCATCTTTCTACATTTTATGAATCCCTGCACTCAATTCATCAGATGCTATTCATCATTATTCTCTCCTTCATTATCATTATACTTCCATGTAAAATGCCGATCAAGCTAGCTGCCTATATTTTCACATTATTGTATACATACATATATATATGTATATATATATATAGAGAGAGAGAGAGAGAGAGAGAGAGAGAGTATACTTGCATATAAAATTTAAAGGTACTACATATATATATATATATGTATTATAATTATTATTGGTTTTCGATCATTTTGTGGAAATTAAAGTAGCCTCTACACTACTCAATTCCTATATAAATTTTCCTTTTGAACGTGCGTGATCTTTAATATCATGATAATGATACCACAACGACCCATAATTAAATATATATATATATATATATATTCAAACACACATATCCTCTATGATGTTTACTTAATAATATAAAATTTCGTTTGTGAATTTAATTTATGAAATTACAAATTTGTTACTATTAAATATATATACATTGTAATACTAATTTAAATAATAAAATAATAATATTTTAATTTATGTAATTCATTTGAAATATCTCTATAAATAAGGGATAATAACCCATTTGAAATTTAATTTTCATAAAAGTTATTCAAATTTACTTTTGATATAAAATATATTCAACTTCAAACAATCTCAAAATTACTTAATATTTTAATTATATTTTTCTTTTATAAATAGGATAAAATAATTGTCTAAAAGTTCATAACTAGAAATAAAATTTTGCACCTAAATTTACTTAATTTGCTTTAATAAGGATTTGATATAAACCAATTCATTAGCTATAAAAAAGTATATACCATTAAATATAAATATCAATATACGTATCATCCAAGATTTTTATGTGTCACCTGTCAATCTTTTGTTTGAATTAAAACTTTATTATATGTTAGGTTATTACCCTTTTTGCTAATTACTAATTAATCATACTCTCATGAGCTAATCAATCTTTTTTTAATTAACAATATCATTTTTATCTTATCCACCCAGTAAAATATTGCATATTTACACCAATCAATATACTTATCATCATAAAATCACCAATATTTTCATCTCACAACTACACGTGTAAATGTAAAAAACATTAATTAAATATTAATCATCATCACTAATCTATTTTTTTTTTTCTTTTTTTCTTCTTAGAATCATGATTCCTACCATGTCATCCTCGACGAGATTCAAAAGCTATATAATTATGTTTTATTAAAAAATATATTTATATCATTAAGTAGATTGTTATAATTATCCTAATTTTTATGGGTTGAAAAGCAAAGTAGGTATTGATTTCTAATTATTACTTTTTATTTATTCACTTTATTAATATTATTGTTATTATTTGATTTAATTAGAACGACAAATAGCTATAAATCTCAAGGAAATATGTAACATGGGAGGTTTTAAGCTTCTATTTTATTTAAATAATTATGTTTGTTTTCGTTTTCATTTCTAAACGGGCTCAAGCCCAAATACCAAACACGTGTGGACCTTATGTCCATATGGGCTGGGCTTACTTTTATAATGATTTGATGGGCTCAAAGCCTATAGCCCATGTCCATATTCTATTTATTTAATACTAAAAGTTCATCGAAAACTCACTTATAACTCTTATTTTCTATATTATCGGTAATACTCTTGATTTATTAATGTAATTAAAATTAGTATATAAATATAGTTGTTGTAATTTTTTAATTCTTATTTAATGTAAAAATGAAGAAAATTAAATGAATGATAAAACTGAAAATAATTTTGAGAAAAATGAGTAAAAATTTGGGTTCTGTGGGTATTTTTGAAAGAAAATTCAGAAACTGGATATCAAAACGCAATTTAAAAAAATTGTACCACGTAAGACGCTCAGTCAGTAGCCCCGACAAACCAGAGCACGTCGGGTGGTAAGGGACGCTGACACAGCGCCACGCAGGAGGCCACACGGGCGATCCGCATGCCTACAATCAAATGGTCCAGATTTGTTCTTGCGCGCACGGACGGTCCGGATCCATTCCCTCTCCAGACACGATCGAACAGTCATATTTAAACGCAATTAATGGTCCAGATTCACTTCCTATTTAAAAATGATCGAACGACCCAAATCATATCGCGATGAATGGTCCAGATTCACTCCTTATTTAATCACGATCGGACGATTCATATCAAATGTGATTGACGACCCAGATTAAAAGAGGACATATATAAATAATCATTTTCACACCAAACTCTAACTTCAGCTGCCAGAACCCCCCCCTCTCCAGCCGGAGAAGAAGACCCAATCACTAGAAAGAAAGCTGATCGTCGCCGCTGCCGCGTCGGAGCCACTTCCAACCGTCAAAAGAGGTAAAAACAATTTTTTTTGCTCAAATTCGATTTTAAACACCCCCATGTCCAAATTGGAATAAAAAGATTGGCATATTGGCCGAAAATCGTGGGCAAATTCCGTCGGCGTTGTTGCAGAAAAATACAAAAATCGCCTCCGATAAGGCCCTTTCTGATTCCCATTCTGCGTAATTCTTCCGCCATTGTAATCACCGTTTTCTTCTCTACAGGTTGACCAAAGCAAAACACTAAACCGCGAAGGTGAGCCGGCAGAGCCACCGTACTGGAGAACCCTGCCCCGGTAAGTTTCGTTTTTTTGACTTTTTTCCGACCAACCGAGACCCTTAACGTGATTTCTCGCAGAGATTGGTACAAAATCAACCAAAAACAACCGACCCGAGGCAAACTGCCGCCGCGGACGGAGGTGTCGTCGCCGGAGCACGGCGAGCCGCCATGCCGGAATTCTGAAATTGGCAAAAAAAAATTTTCTAATACTGATTTTAGATTTTTTGAAATATTTTTAAGTACTTGAAGTGCGTTTTAACCCCTAAAGAAAAATTCAGAGAACCCGGGGACTTCCAGTAAGCGCAATCAAAAGTTTAGTATTTAGGACATCAATTTGAGTAAGAATCTCTCACTTTATTCTCTATTATGGAATTGAAGTCTAATTAATAATAATACAATATTTTGTGTAATTTAAAAAATATTCATAATTAATTATAGGTTATTAATGGAGTCAGAACTGGAAGTTATTCATTATTGATCATATTGATTGATTTTACAATTTGAATACATAATAATACCTGATTGATTGATCTTATAGTTTGAATGCATGTATTACTTACTTTATGCGATTACAGTTGAATTGAAAAACTAAAAATTAAAAGAAATCGAAAAATTATTTGATTAAGTAAATAGATGAAACAACAGTCTTATTGGATATCTTGAGAAATGGTGGACAGACCGGGTACATAGGGAACCCTACCGTGAACGTTGCTCCATACTGAACGAGGTATCGAAATTTGGTAATTTGGCGCTCATACTGGACAGGGTATAGGGACGGGTCGTTTCACCCTCATATCAGACGGAGTATCGAGGTTTAGTAATTTGGCACTCATACTGGACGAGGTATGGAGATGGTCTGTTAATTAAAAATGTTAAAGGAAAGGATTCACCCGTTGTGGGGACATCTTTATGGACCTCCATGGATACCAGTAAGCTAAATAAAAGAGAAAATTATTGTTTCAACTGATTACATATGAAATTATAATATGTGCTATGTTATTGCTTCTCTATAGGTTGTTTTTTATAAATCTCGTTATGGTAAGTAGAAAGTAAATAATTTTATTTATGATTAACGATTTTGCTTAATTAAGAGTTCCATTAGTTATTTTTATGATTTCTACCAACCTTCATTTTTATGTCGGTGAGTAGCGTGATATTCTTACTGGGCTAGTGTAGCTCATTCTTTCATTAATCATTTCAAATCAAGATGACCAGAATTCAGAACCCGATTCACAAGAGAATTGCGAGTAGAACGTTTAGTTGTTTACTTTTAATTTATTTCCTTGGTTATTAGTTGTTCTCTTATAAATGTTATTCTCATAAGCTGTATTTGGTACTTTTAGTTATTGTGTAAGCAATGTAAACCCTAACTATTTAATTCGCTTCCGCATTAAATTTATAATTTATTTTCTTTGAATTTTTCGGAGTCGTTGCATTATTAATATCACTATATTTTATATATTACATGAATGTATCTACGTAAATCTCTATTATATATATTTTTTACTGAATTCGTGGAACTCACATCTATTTTATCTGAGAAAATATGAGAAGTAAATCCAAGATTAAAGTAATTTGAAAATAAAATCGAAATCCATCATTTATTGGAAACAGATACTGCGAATATTATTTATAATTTAAATAACAAAATAAAATTAAAATATAAATAATAACTTATAGACATATTTATTATATAAAATTATTTATTTAATTTAAATTATGATAAATAGATATTATGAAATGCATATTAAAATATAACGAGACTAATATATTGAAATAAATTATAATAATTTAGCTTACCTATTTATTTTGATATGCTCAATCTTAAATTTTTTTTTTTTAAATTATTACGTTAAAATTAAAGAGATGGGTCCTCTATCTTAAATAAACTCATGAACTATTAATATTTTTATTTTCGATAGATAAAAAATTGAATTATAAATAAAAAAATAATACAAAAATATGATAAGAAAATAAAAGAGATGGGAGTAATAAAAAATTATTCAACCTAAATTTGAGCAAATTGATATGAATTAATTCAATATGGTTGAATTCAATTAAATTAATTTCTTTTAATTAGATTTGTACATTATTCAACGTATAAAATATGATATTGAAAAATTAAAATATAAAATTTAAAATTTAAAAAATTAACATCAGTAATAATATCTTTTTTCAATCCTAAATCCAACCAAAGTATGGAGTTTGGCCCAAACCCGAATTTGTTTTCTTCACTGCACCGACAGGCGGCCATGACAACAGTAAGAAATAAGAAACCCTATTATTACGATCCAACGGCCTATATCGACCCTAAATGTTTTATCACAGCCGTCACATCCTTATCATAATGCTATAAAGCCTTCAGTCTGAGCTAGGGTTTAATTTTCAGATCTTAAGCCACTGCCGCTTGCAGCCTCTTTTCATTTTCTCGTCACTGATTCAGAGTGAGGTATTATTGTTCAATTTTATTTGTCGCCTTGTCAAATCCATTTGTATAAGCATGTGAATAATTCCGTATTTGATGGTCTTTAATTAGGAAGTTCTTATTATTTATTTTCTATTATTTGCACCGCGATTCGGTTACATGTACTGGATATGGAAGTTCTGGATTATGGATGCATTACACTACAATGTTTGGAGCTTTTTCTGTTGAAAATTGCTTGGAAAATCCGCTTCCCTTTCATTTTCTCTATAAGATTTTTTTTTAGTGTTAATGAATCGAAAGGTTCTAATCGATTTGTAATATTAGCTAACAAGATTCAATATATGTTATTGTGGGCTTATTTGTTTGATAAAATCGTGTTATTTTAAAATTTTTTTCCTGTCAAATCCTTTATTTAAACTTAGTTAAGGCTAGGCGTATGTTAAATGAAAGTAGAATTCGTTCGGATCCTCCCACATGTTCAATCTTTTTTTAGCGGTTTCCCCAGAGATCTTTATCATAAATGCAACCTCCATTTTGCTCATTCATGGAGTTGTATCTAGTACCTCTAAGAAATATGATTATCTGTCGTTAGTCAGTAATGTGGGTTGGCTTGGTTTTACACATAGGGTTATTGTTAAGCTGAGCACTTCATTTTTTTTTTCTTTTATGTTTTAAGGAAAATATAAACGTTACTACTATTATTAGGATTACTTTTAATTTGATTGTGCGCTTACTGTTTGTTAACATGTTGATATTCCACATTACTTTGCAATGATAGAAATGGCTAACCCCAAAACAAACGGTGAGTAATCAAGGCTGGAGTCTCAAAGGGTTCTTTTGCCAAAACCCGACCATGGGTATTTGGCAAGAAATACTAAATGAACCCGAGAATTGGCATTATTCATGCCATAGGCCTCTGGTTGGGGTGCGTTTCCTGTCATCTGCTGGAAATGGTGGTAATATCATATGTCTGAACACAAGGGCACATGTTTTTCGAAAAGGAAAATGGCTTTGCTTTCTGTTCAATTTTCATTTGTAAATTCATCCATGGTTTTATTTCTTAGATAATTGTTTCAACACCATCTGATTAACATCTACTGCGATTAAGATTTTGAACATTTTGTATCAGGCTTTTTTGTTTTACAAAATAAATGAGAAGGTCTTGTGCATAATTGTTTCTATGTTTCTGATTTACATCCACTGTGACGAAGATTTTGAGCAACATTTTGTATTATGCTGATTGTTCTACAAAATAAATGAGAAGGTTTTATATAAAATTGTTTTCATGCTTCTGATTTGAATCTACTGAAAGTAAGATTTTGAACAACAAAACAGCTCGCGGGATTTTAAAATCCCTCTATCGCGGGATAAAATCCCCTGGCATGCCTCACGACTTGAACGCGAAGAAAATCCCCCGTCTGCGGTCACCAGCCTTGCAGACATACAGACTCAACAGGCATTTCCCGTGAAAGGCCTGTACCGCAAGCACACCATGCTGGCAAGCCAACAGGGCATGCTGGAGTTTTTCTCCCTGCCCATGTGATGGACCATGCCAGGAATGCGGGCAGGTTCTGCCCAAGCTTCACTGGCCAGCAGACTGCCCACTGCTGGCCGTCATCTCCCCCTTGGCTCCTTTCCGCCACATGGAGCACCGCAATCAAATCTGGTCAGCTCGGTCGGTCATTCACCCGATCGATGGCCGACCTTTTCTGCATGTGATCCAACGGATCACATTGCCTCTGTTTCACCTAGTTAAACCTCTTCCTCATTTCTTCATTTCTGTATTATGCTTTTTGTTCTACAAATAAATGAGAAGGTTTTATATATAATTGTTTTCATGCCTTCTCATTTAAATCTGCTGCCACTAAGATTTTGAAACACATTTTATATGATTTACATTTTGTATTATGCTTTTGTTTTACATAATAAATGAGATTGCTTCATATATAATTGTTTCTATGCCTTTTGATTTACATCTACTGCGACCAAGATTTTGATCAACATTTTGTATGATTTACATTTTGTATTGTACTTTTTGTTTTACAGAATAAATGAGAAGGTTTTTCTATAATTGTTTCTATGCCTTCTAATTGTTTATAAGCTTACATTTTTGTTTCTTTGGTGTTCAAAAGTAACTTAATTTTGCCTTCTGATTTACATCTGCAACTAACTTTTTGAACAACATTTTGTTTGATTTAATTTTGTATTATGCTTTTTTGCTTTGCCAGCTATATTGCCTGTAGAATGGGAAGTCTTGAAGTTATACAATTGAAGCTTACATTTTTGTTTCTTTGGTGTTCAAAAGTACTTTGCAGTTTAGATGCTTGAAATTGTTATGCCTTTTTGTTTCTTTGGTGTTCAAAAGTACTTTGCAGTTTAGATGCTTGAAATTGTTATGCCTTTTAAAAGAGTGGGTTTTGCAGAGTAGTATATTGAGGAAGAATGTCGCATCGCAAGTTTGAGCACCCAAGACATGGCTCTTTGGGGTTTCTCCCAAGGAAAAGGGCATCTCGCCATAGAGGAAAAGGTTTCTATTATGTCTTTGTCTTTTTTTTTTTGTATCAGTATGTGCTAATTGTTGAACTACATTGTAAAGAAGTTGAAGAATTCTTGGCCTATGTTTTCTTCTGTTTCTTGCTGTGTGCATTATTTCTATGTATTGAAAACTTATTTCTTGTGCAGTCTTGTTTTAATGTTTGTTTGACCTCTAAAATTAGCTCCCATGATATAGTTCGATTGTCACTTGTATCATTTTGATCTGTGGGTGAATTTTGATAAGATTACCTGCTGTTGCTTATAGAGGTTGTTTGGAGGTCTAGTTTGTGTATTTTGTAGTCAATGGTTGTATTGATTTTAGTTTCCAATATTTTTTTGTACGTAAGTTCTTGAAATATTATGTGTTGTTTTCTTCTATAAAAGTTACATTGCCTTGTATGATATGTGGTAAAGCAACAAACCCACTTCCTAGTGGAGTTAATTAGCATTAAAAACTAATGCAATGTGATGTTTTGAGGATCTTTATCTTGTCAAACATTTTGGTTTTTTGTTGGCTCCCTAAGTATTGCGGATATGGTTGGACTATTTATTGATTGGTATTTGTTGCAGAATGTGTTTTTGCTTCTAGTTTCGTGGAACTGATGTTTACTTCTAAATGTTGGTATGTTCAGTGAAGGCCTTCCCCAAGGATGATCCATCTAAACCTTGCAGATTAACTGCTTTTATGGGTTACAAAGCTGGGATGACTCATATTGTTAGAGAAGTTGAAAAACCTGGGTCAAGTGAGTTTCTTCTTTGTCTTTTTCTTTCAAATTTTTTATCAGCTCCTTAGATGTTAATGATGTTTTTAACTGTTTCAAAAATTACCAGAATTTTTCTGTGCAAACAATTGCAATAAGGTATTATATCTTTCTTTTCACATGGCTCATGCTCAAACCTTGGTATGAAATTTTGTTTCCAGAGCTCCACAAAAAAGAAACATGTGAAGCAGTTACTGTTATAGAAACACCTCCATTGGTGGTGGTCGGGGTTGTTGGTTATGTCAAGACACCTCGTGGTCTTCGTTCGCTATGCACTGTCTGGGCTCAGCATCTGAGTGAAGATGTGAAGAGGAGGTTCTACAAGAACTGGTGCA